TGTACCCAACTGCTGGGAGGTGTGGGATAAGAGTTCTGGGAGCTTGCATAGAGAGGAAGTAACATCTGTGACTGATGCCATGGGAAGAACTGGCAAGGCTTGGACACAAAAGCCCAGGATTGGAGGAATGCAAAGAGACAGGCACTTTTACAGAGCCATCCATCACCCCACTCCCTCTCACAAACTGCTTTAAAATGGGATAAAAAGCCTTTCAGAGTGACTTGAGCATGGCAACAACCACAGAGAGTGTTTAGGCACCTAATCCAGACTGGAGATCTAAATTTTGGACTGTGCCATTTAAGTGAGATGAGTTTTAGGATTAACAAGGACACTTACCCAAAAGATCCAACCAAATTTGTCTGGTGCATTTCCCCAGTCAGAATTGGTATTTTTAGTCCAGCCACCACCAACCACTACTATGGATATTTCACACCAGTTATGAAATAAAACTGTTTGAAAATTAAATCTTTGCAGAAAGGAGGCATGAAAACATTTTGATCATTTTCATGCCAGTGAGCCTGTGATGAATCACAATTCCATCACATGGCAATAAACTCAGGTCCAAATTTTCAGAATGTGACTTTCTGCTAATGTAGCAGTAATACTTTTATATTGCAGCCATTACCAAGAGATCAGCTATATCAGCCAACAAGTTCTACAGTTTTCTCTCCACCAGACCCTGTTGTATCAAATTAATAACAAAATAAAAATAGAGGTTTTCAAAACCTTTATGTTCAGGGGAGTGTTAAAAAGAAGAAATTATCCATTTTCCATGGATATTTTCCTAGCAACATGAACAGTCTTGAAAAATATTCTTAATGTGTTCAGTAGGAGATTAATACAGAAATCAATAGCTTCTATTCAAAAGATAAAAACAACTACAAAGAAAAGTAATTTTCAAATGCAGCAATTGTTGCAAACATTGCTTGTTTAAAAATAAGACAAAGAATATCATAGAACATTAAAAAGTGAAAGAATTCATAATAACTAACCTTAAATCAGCCTTGCAAAGTCCTAATTGCCCACTGCCTGGAGGGAAAAATTTTTTTGACAGGCAAGTAAATTATCATTAGTCTTGTCTATTATTGTCAATCATTACAACAAAATGCTGATGAGTGAATTTCTGTCTGGGCTGGTGCATTTTCATGTCAACTTTCCCACACAGGTTCAAATTAAGTCACAAGTCAGGGCACGAAAGAATCTAAAATCAGCTGTTTAAGCTTCTTCATCTGCATAGTGATATGCATTACCCCTACAGCCTTTAGTGCAACAGGAATTCCTCTAAGTGTTTTTAAACATCACAAAAGTGTTTGTCTCACAAGGCATATAAGTGAGCATTTATAACTAAGAGACCCATGTAAGATCTTTTGTTTCCTTTCATGGAAAACTACCCTCCAACACTGAATGAAACTGCAAAGCACAACTCAGGTAAAAGAGCTGAACAGACTTCAGACAGGAGAGTTCCAGTTCTGGGCAAATGAGGCTGATTTATTCTCTGCTGAATGGTAAAAAATAAAGACTGAGGAATCTCCTACAGCAGCACTGCTCTTGAAGGAGCTGCAAATTTAAGAGACCATAATATGGTGTTGCTGAATGCAAGTGTCAACAATAACAAACCATTATCAGATACTCAGTATCACACTGGAGCAGCTCTTTGCTAAAGAAATTATTATTATTATTAATAGTAATGAACTAATAATAGCAATGAATTCAAAGATTATTTTTTTTCTGAATAGTTTCAGCATTTTGTCAAGAATAAGAATGAAGTTTTTCTAATACATTGATACATGGGTGGGATAGGAAGTAGTGCTGTTAATCACTGAGTTCTAATGGTCTTTCTTCAACCAGCTCTGGAGCTGTCTGTAAATCCAACAAAATTAACAGATCTGGAAAATTTTAGGAAAAATATATTAAACATTCCTGTGGAAGAAGCTAGAGAGGAACACTGAAGAGAAGGAACCCAAGAGCCTTTTTACTACTGATTAAATATTACTATATTCTCAAACCTGAGAGCTCAGAGTCCTGAAAGCTTCATTTCCATTCTGTTCATACCATGACAAATTTTTATTTTTGGAATTTGCCTAGGATAGACTTTCTGTTCATACAGGTACTTCATGTCAGGCAGGCACACAGGCTGGCTTTGGTGAATGACTTCTCAGAATCCCCAGGATGATCACTTCATCATGGCAGTGTGTGATAGCATTTGTATCTTGGGGGTAGCATGGGGAAAGGTCCTGAAATAAGCATTTTTGTGTATTTTATTGGAAGAAAAACAATTCAATCCAGAGTTTGTAATAGAGATAAGCTCTAGATATATGTTTCAATAGATTCACATGAGTGTGGCCATACTGAAATATATTTAGATGCAGTGGCCATCAGCAGGGTCTCAGTGCAACACAGCAACCAAAGCAGCTTGAGAATTTCACAAATTTATAGATTAAAGGCCTGAGGGGATTGTGCTGATGATATAATCTTACCTTTTTGTAATAAAGGCATGTACTAATTCCCTTTTGAATTAAAGAAATATATATATATTTTAGGGTGAAAATAACCATCAGTTGCCACCTATGGAGAATAAACCAGTCTATGATAAATCATTCCAACATTAATTAACCTAACAGTTATAAATAATCTCAACTTCAATTTCCAGTCATTCCATTTATACTTTTATTTACTGAATTGAAAATCCCATTATCAAAGTTTTGTTTCCTAATATTTTACTCATTCCTGTGGCTCTTCTCTAGAGCATTTCTAATTCAGCCAGACCTTATATTTTCTTGAGTTTATACATTCAATTCCTAAAGAAACTTGATTCAATCTCTGGTTTTTTCAAGGTCCTTTTTCCTCTGCCAAAGTTCTTTCATCTAGATGGACATGAACACTCATCCCTTCCATTATTTATTATTTGCACAGTTCTTTATCACTATGATCTTCCTGTGTTTTATGTTTTCATTCAAATCATGGTAATGATGTCAAACACTGTTGAACTTAAAGTTCAAAAACTACCTGCCACTGAAGAAAGCTGCTCTTTGATGAAGTCATGGAGACATACACAAATAAAGAAAAAAAATAATATATAAGTCCTATATTCAAAGATTTGAATACTACATCCAGTGAGCAAATCACACCTCAATAAAAATTTCCCTGGAGAAAAAAATATTGACATTCAGACACCAATTCCAAAGATAAGGTTATTTCCTTTTTTAAATCGAAAAAAACCCAAACATTTAAAGTGAGGAAAATGCACAGGAGAAGAAACACTTGATTTCAAACTTCAAATCTCTCAAACTTTATTTGATCATCACCTGTGTGACTACCGTGGTACAAGTAATAATAACTGCTGCTTTAAAAAAAATTATATTACTATTGTCTTTCAAACATGCCAAAGGATTTACTAGACTGACATAACGTCCAAAAACACTTTCTATCAATTTCATTATTTTATTCTCTTTTATAACGAAATGTGGTGGGTCTAAGATATAATTCTGATCCTGGACTCTCCAGTCAGGTTTTGATAAACATATATTAACCACTGATGATTATATCTTATTCCCTGATAACTAGATGATTCAGATACCTTTTGTCACAGTTTCCACACTTCTCTAGACTTAAATAAATAAAAATTGGAATTTTTTATATAGGAATTGTGGCATTTTCATTCCTTTGTATCAAATGTAGTTATTTTGGCTGACACAACAATGAGTTCTGGTATCTTTGCCCTTTATTTTCTCCTGTCTCCATAAAAGCAGATACTATGTATTACACAAGAAGGATATAGAAAATGTAATTTACATGGACCACAGGAAATGGGGATACTCATCTGGACAAGACACACAGTCAAGAAAAGACAAGACACACACACAAGAAAACAGTCCCTCTATTTTCAAAGTGCATGAGGCACAGCTGAAGGGCAGATGCTTTTGGGAATGTTCTCTGTCAAGGACTGGACTGGGACTAAGGTTTCATTGGCATTAACAAAAGAATTTTTAAAATAATTGCATAGAGTTAGGAATGGTAACAGTTACATTCTGTAGAAAAATATGCTGAAACAATCTGAATTATCATATAAAGGCCCAAGACCTCAAATCAGAAGATTAATTACAAATGCCTATACCTAGAACAAGTGTAAAATAATTTTGAACTAAACCCAAGTTTTGTATGCTACTTAAGCACCTATATAGTAATTAAAGTCTAGCCTTAAGTGTAGAAGTCCTTTGAAAACCATGAAAATAAACTGATAGCTTCTAGTAATTTCATTTTAAATGCTTTAGTGTTATAGAGAAAATAACATTGAAAAGCTTTGAACAAAGTAGATAGTTGGCATTATGACCATGTGTCATTTTATGCTAAAAAATACTCTAAGAAATAAAGCCTGCTGTTACTTATAGTATATGATCTAATCTTTTCAGAAAAGTGGGCAGAGTTTTACCTTGAATACAGGGTAGACTTGCACACAAACAAAAAATATTTGGATAGGTCACTTCCTGATCAGATTTGTAATGTTTATTCAGTTCCAAGGTGACTAACCTATGATCACTGGCAAAGAGCTGATAGTTATTTTTCCTATAAAGGCACAGAGTACTCAATTTTGACTACTTTTAAAACCTACAGACAAAAACTACAAAAACTACAAGCACTGTAGAAAAATGTTATTGCTGATAGGTGTTAATTTTGAAAAGAACATTCTTTGCAAAAACCTAGCCATTATTTGATGCCTTTTGTAGGTGTTGAAAATAACTAGGTCATTTCCTTGAATTCCCCATAGATCCTTTCTGTCCTTAAAAGTCTTCATAAACACAAGTTATCATTTTTCCTGTGCATACTGAGAAATGTGCTCATTACAGGAGTTAAATTTTGATCAGGCAGAAGGGAATAAAGCTCAGTTGTGATTCACCATCTACAGAAATCCTTTCCTGAGTGCAAACTAATCTAAATGCTACATAAATATCTTTCTTTGCTATATATATATGCAATTAGCATATATATGGGCATATACACTATATATTAGTGTGCATATTAGTGCACACACAGTAATTCAGGGTTGAAGGAATCTTTTTAATGTATAACACCATTATTGAAACATTTCTTAGACTCTATCATGCTAGATACTGTTCTTTTACTATGCCCATCTTCTGAAATAAACTCTCTTGGGATTTCATCCTTTGTATACAATCCAGCCAAACAAATCCCTTTAATAACAAGAGCATATCTTCTTGAAAAAACCTTTACCTTGAACTTAGGGTTTAACCTTAAAATTTCTCTCCTTATCAAATTTCCAGTAAAATAAATTTTGTTCTTCACACCATTAGAACATGAAACAATAATACTCTAGGAAAAAAAATCACAAAATTAAAAATTTAGATATTTAGATAATTCCACAAAATTTAACACAATATGATACAAGATATATATATATATTAGTATTTGCTGCTCTCCTTGCTCTGAAATATTCTTATTGATGGAAAACATTGTGTAATTACACTTAGTGAGCAATTGCAAGCTGATATAAAATTCAGGCAGCTCAGTAAAAAAATACCAAATAGGACACAACCCAGGTAACCAAGGAGTAAATATATTTCAACTTTCACACTATTCAAAAATAGACTGCCAAAGGCTGTGGGGGGAAAAGGCATGTCAATTAGTTTTTTCAATCTACACTCAGTTGCACTGATCTCAAACACCTGAGATCACAAAAATGACACATCTAACAGCTTCAGTTCCCAAAGATGAAATTGGTGTGTGAGTTAAGAACAAGTTGTTCTACTGGATTATTATGAAATTATGTAGTTGGTCTGAAACATTATGAAATTCTACAGGTTTGGCTCCCTTTATTGTTTAAGGTGAATTACTCTATCAATAGTATTGAGGTAATCTTGAGGCTGTTCTTTGTCCTGGGTATAAGTCTGAAAAGAATTTGAGTCTAAATAAATAGACCTAAGCTTAAAAAATTAACTGGATATGTCATGTTATTTTAAAAAGTTTTTGACCTTTTGTGGAACCACCAACAAACTTCTGTAAAAACAGCTGCTCCTTTTAGCTAGTTTATAACAAAAGTGGTTTAGGTTCGTATTCCCAGAAACATAGACATAGTACTTTGGCAGACTTCAGTGACTAAGCCCACATTTAAATCTAAAATTCAAGTCAGAGGAAATACCAGCTGCTGAAACTTGGTAAATTCTCCTCTTTGGCTGAAGAGTTCTTTGTCTGAAAAGTTATTTGACTGAAAAGTTCTGCAGGCACCTGAATATTCTCAAGGTATAAAACCCCAGGAATGTTTTGCCTGCCCATTTGGATCACCATCTCTATTCCAAGTACTGTGGGATCAGAAACCAGGTGGAACAATACCTAAAATCTCCCCATGGACTCCCTCCCTTACAGGACTCAGAGAGGGCATCAGGCCTTTCTTACAGGGGCCCTAACTTTGAGCCATAATTAGACATTTAGGCAATATCAACAACTTTTCATATAATACCTGCTAAACATTGAACCAGACAGGAGGTGCTTGAGGTCCCTGCTGACTCAAGCCTGAGCAGATGCAAATCCACCTTTCACCTGCCACAGAGAACAGCAAGAGCACATTTTTACAGTGTCCTGGTGGTGAGTTTCTAAGGCTGTGAATTCCAATAGCTCCTCCCAGAATTATTACTTTTTGCTCAATGTCCTTTGTCGTGTTTGAAGTCTGGCCATGGCCACTGCAGATGTGGGTCACCTACAGCCTATTTCCTACTGAGTTTTCTTGGTGATGCAACTCTCCCAATCCACTGTCAGGATACCACTGAAGCCATGGGCTCCTTGAAGGTTGGCAAATCTGGAAATTTAGCTCTGAAAGTGGATCTTCATCCTACTATTCTTATTTTTATAGGATTAATGGTTGAGAAATACTAATTCTCTAGTCTGAAAACAAAAATTTTATGCTACATGCTTGTACTGCATCACAAGGATCACATTATATGATCTTTTCTGAAGTTCTCAGGGGCTGGGAGCAAAGAAAGCCAAACAGTTTTCATTTACTTCTCGTAGGGATTTGTGGGTTTTGTTTGCTTGTTTGGTTTGGGTTTATATATCACCCTTACAAAGAAATGAACAACACCCCAAGTCTCAGAAGCTCTGGGTGCTGTTCTCACACATAACTCAGTGCTCTATAAACATATTTGGAGCTAATATGACAATAGTTCTTCTACTAACCAAGCTAATTAAGTTAGAGTTATATCACTGGCTTATGCAGACAAACCTCAGAAGGCAAAAGTTGTGCAGAATAGAATATTTAAGTGATTAGCTTGCAACAGAATATTATTTTGCTTTTAAGCTAAAGTGATTTTTTTTTTTAATGAAGGTTATCTTTTTCCTCTTGTATGGCTGGCATCTCAAGAGCAGAATAGATTTTTTTTTAATTATTTTTATTAATACTTTATAACAAAACTTCTGGAGTGATACTGTCAGGCAATAATGTATTGGGTGAAATTGTTTACACATAATATTCTTGGCTATATTTTGATGAATAAAAGGTTTTCTTATTTAAGATTCTAGATCAAACTGTTCTACTTGAAATCATAAATAGAGCAGACCTGGTAATTAAATTTTACAGTGACATGAAATTAAAAAATCAACAATAACTAATTTGTGCTAATATTTAAATACGTATTAGCTTTCAATCATTAATTAAGCTTGTTTTGTATCAGTTTTGCAATTAACAGAACTTCAGTTTGTTTTCACTTTCAACAAGTAACAGTTAAAATAAATTGTTAGAATTTAAAAATCAAATTCTATCATTCTCCTAATGAATCATACCTCATGTTTAGCACTCTTTATTCCAAAACTAATTATGTGGTGCACACAAGCATTCCTAAGATAAATGTTTATTACGGAAATGATAACATGACTGCAACATAATGGCAATATCATGATGCAATTACAATGAATCACTATAATCCGTCAAGTGTTTTGAGATACTCAGATATGCAGTACACTTCAGATACACCATGTTAGGTTGTCTCATTTACCCAGGCAGAGCAGAAATCTACGTTCCTCACATTATTTTGCTATTCTTGTGTACTGCTGGCATTACCCTCAAGTTTGGGAGCTTCAGGTCTTGATCAGTTTTTATTTTTCCTGGATTGTGCTCAAAATCAGAGGGAAGAACTGGTGTTGGTTGAAGGGGTTTTAAGCATTTAGATCAAGGCAGACATGTGGGAAAGCTCAAGGAAACAATGGAAGTGTTGGTCAGCATCGTGGCCATGCACAGAAGTCTGGTCACATTGCCTCATCATCTGTGCCAAGGGGGAAAAACCAGTTTCACAAGACAGGAAAAGCAAATAAAGGATTATTTTCATGACTGTAACCACAAAGCAGTAAACTAAGTAATGACCCCAATTCACAGCCCTTCATGCATTGCAGTGTGAAGTTTAAGGCAGTTGTCTGTGGAATAAAAACTTTTCTTTCTTTTTAAACATATTTGCTATGTGTGAACCTCTGAGATTTTCTAACAGAATTTAGATGTTCCCTGGGAGAATCTTCTTTTTTTTTTTTGGTTCTTTCCTGGAGTTTTCTTTATTTCAAAATAGATGTCTTCCCAAATGTAAATATTATTTTCCCCTTTGCATTTAAGTCAGCACTATATCTTTCCAATTCTTGTCTCTATATATAATTAATACTGAATTTACTATTTCTTTTTGGCATTTACGAAAGAAATGTAATTATAATAAGCCATTTGTGACTTTACCTGCAGGCTTTTGGTATTCAAATTGTCCCTTTGCTCTCTTCTGTGGCACTTTTTCATTCCACCCTTTACATCTGGAAACCCTTCCTTGGCTACATCTTCTTTTCTCACTAATTGGATACTTTCCAGAGACTCAAAAAAAAAAAAAAGCTTAAAACATATTCCCAAAATACCCCTCCAAAGCTAAATAAAGATCAAAAAATTAACTAAAGTGTGGTTTTAAAAAAAGAAAAACACTCAGATTTTTCTGCATTTTATTGCCATCCAGTACTGGATACTTTGAATTTAAATTCTGTGAGAAAGGAACCTTCATCTCCACGTTATCTGCAAAGCACTGAGCACACCTGTGGTGTTAAATGAATAGTTATAATAGATACATGGGTGAATAGCATTAAATGGCAGTGGGCACAAAGATATTCACTGGATCACCTGTTTTGACCAGCCTGATTAATGTGGTAATTGTGCATGCATTATTTAGTGCACAGACTTTCCTCAGTGACAAAAGCCATATTGTGAGTGGCCACTAGTCCCGTCCTGGTAATTCCACTCACACGCAACAACTTCCAGTGTTAAAATCTGTGTCCCACATTAAAAAGTGAAAAGAAACCATGCTATGTTGTGGCAAGAGACAAAGGAATTATTAAGCAAAAAGACAGAAAATAATTGCACTAATTTTTAATTCTATCTTCTATCATTTTTGAAGGGAACCAAATTTAGTATCCTCGCTTTCCAAAACCTTCGGCCTCCTAACTAGCTTAATTGGTCTCTGTTCATTTCTTACTCACATCATTTATAAACTGCCTCCATGGTCCCTGCTGCCTTTTCAAAGCAGCATATGGTCCCTCCATTCATGATAGTCACAATTTCTATTAGTGAGTAAAGAAGAAAAAAAATGTTAATGTCATATTCAGACTGCAGCAGAAAAAAAGCCTGAAATGAAATTTGGGATTAAAGAATGAAGGTATCAGTGGAGACAAAAACTCTGAAACATCACCCACCCTGGAGGATTTATAGTGTATCTTTTTTCCATAAACTTCTAAAGTACTCAGTGTAGATACTAGGCTATATTTAAAAAGAAATTCAAGTTTAAATACATTACAATAAGCATCTGTTGCATATGTTGTTCAAACCTCAAGGATTGTCTTTCTTGTTGTGCTTTTACATGTGATTAAAAAAATAATGCCACATAGTTTCTTATATTTAAATCGAGCCAAGTTCAATTAATTAAGAATGTCTCACTATTGAACTGATTAACTCAAGAAATAAAGAAGAAAAGAGAGTTAAAATTCAGAGAGTTAGTGTCCTGTCCCAAAAGATTAAATATTGCAATTAACAGACAAAAAAATAGAAGTGAACATTAGAAACATGTTATAAGAACATTATCTTTAGCCCTAACTTTTGTAAACGATATTATCTGAAGGATGCCCTTCATAAACTAATCAAATGTGATTTGAATTTGAATTTTAACTATGCCAAGAAATGTTTCAACAGCTATAGGAATGAAGGCTGAGGTCATAGGTTCTAATTCCTTTCAGTGGTAAGCAACAGGTATGGCCTATTGTTATTCCAAACTTATTTTAAATTCTTCAAATATTCATTATTAGTTTCAACTTTTAAAAAATAATTATATATCCTATCAAATTTAGGAATCCTCATGGTTTAATATTATTTTGTCCATTCTACTGGAATTTTTTACATTACAATCAAAAATAAAAATATGTTTAACTTCTCCTTTTGTTCTTAGATTTTTATTTCCTTTTTTTGATAGTTAATCTATTTAGTTTCACTCTGCTATCCAGCTTTGATGAAAGGTTAACACATTGCTAATTGAGATATACTGGGTATTACTTTGAACAGCAGAGGCAGCTTTTATGGATGGTGATATGAATTCAATAAAGCTGAATTAGCATGAAATAAGGCTAATTTAGTGCCTGCATACTTATCAATTGATTTCAAATTTTCTTCTTTAATGTTTATTTTTTTCATTCAGGAAAATAACTATTTGTTATACAGGACATTAACTTGTTTCAGTGCAATAAAAGCACCAGAGTTGTGTCAGCTTCAGAACTGTGTATTAAAAAGTCCTTCTGTTCTCACCACATCTCACCCTCATTCCCACCACGTCAACATTCCTTCTGATTCCAAACTAAAACGACCCTACATCTGGATTTTGTCTTGAAATCCCTTAAATTATTATGTTTTAGGTGTATTTTCTATCTGTTGACAATATTTAAGAAAGAACAGGTTAAAGTACAAAAAAGAAAGCAGTTCTCTTATTATTTCTGTTTAGGATATATACAAAGAGTACATCATGATTAAGTTACTTGACCAGTTTTAGGAATGACAAAATCCAGCTCTGTGCTTTTAAGAGGGTGCAGTAGTTATGTGTAGTGTAAGAATCTATTATTAAATAGTTCCCAAGAAAAGATAAGCCTTCCTATACATGGATACAATTCTTATTTCTCAGTAATTTTACACAGGACAAATTTGTTCCATACAATAAAAATTATAATAGAAACATAAATTTTAATATAATAGGCCATATTTCAACAAATTCAATTTGCATTACCTCAGTGCAGGTGGTTATTTATTACAGTGTATACACACATAATCTTGATGTTTTGAAGGTGACTCAGAGTGGCTGAGTGAGTAAGCCAGGGACAGTCAGGGAAAGCATTTACTCAGCATCTAGAGTACATATTACAAGCTCAGCTCTGCATGAAGGGCAATTTGGACTATGAAGAAGCAGCAAAAGGAATCAAGGACAACTGTAGTTTAATACTTCCAATCTCATCAACAGAGAGCAAAATCCCATTTTTAAAGGAAAAAAAAAAAAAAATCTAGAGATAAAAACTCAGTTCACAAAAAAATAGTTCAAGTACAGCCCCGAGAACTTACCATAATGAAAGTGTGTATTATTGTATGGTTAAAAAAAATAACAGCTGCATTTTTCTGAAAATTATTTCAAGACTAGTAAATTTGTTTCAAAATTTTTCTATTTTTTCCCCTTTTCCCTTAAATAGAAAGCAATTAGATTTTATACCACTGCCACTTAAAATATATATATAACCTGGAGCAGTGGGAAAAAAGCAAAGAAGAGAGAGAATTAAAATGATCTAAAATCAAAGAGAAACAGTGAAATGAAAAGAGGGGAATGAATCTAGAAGGACTGATTGAAGATGAGTCCTGAAAACAGAGAGAAAGAAAAGGAAATAAGCATAAGAAATTGAAGATAAAGACACAGATGTTACTGTGAGTTGGACAAAACCATTTCTTATAGAATACTTTACATAAAACTCATACTTTTGGCAAAGAGGCCCCCAGAAGACACTTAAAAAAAAAAAATGTATGTAATAGCAACATATTTACCCAAGAAAAGTGTTCCCCAGATTTGATTCGTTTTTAGTGACAGTTTAAAAGTAACATATCATGTTTACTCACAATCACAGGTTGCACTTTTTCCTTATTTAACACTGAAAGAAAACTGAGGCAAATTAGCTCTCAGAGATTTATCCATTAATAATTTTGTCCCAGTCTCCTTGCTCTGCCTGATACTGCTGATTTACTCTGCTCCAACACTGACAGTCTCATTTGTAATGCCTTGGCAGTAAGTATTGATTTAAATCAATAGATATACATGTATGTACTCAAACTTGTACTCAAACTTCATCTTTCTGCCAACAGCCTGAATTTAGATGCCCACAGTCATAAGGATTTTATAGGCTATTCTGTTTCTTTTATGTTATATGCAGCCAATTTCCATGAAGTAGTTCATTTTACTAAAAATTCTACAGCATTTAGGCATTTTACATCATTACAGTTATTATCTCAAATCTAATCACAGACAAGCAGCTCTAGGAGTTCCAAATTGGAAGTGCTTGTGCAAGATAAATAATATGTAAGAAAAAGTAATTTAACAAATATTAATAGCAATATCTATGATGCATATAGTATGTCTACAGTACTTACAGAATACAGTATGTACTACTGTCTTCTTTTATTAGTTAGTGAAACTGGAGTAAAGTTTTAGGTATCCCTGGAAAGAGGGTAAAGAAGGGATCTGAGCACCCAATTTCCCTATTCTCAACTCCTGGGCTTACACGGCTAGCACCATTCTTTTCAATAATTCTGCTTTGATTATCTCAAAGCTGATTGCACATCACAATTTTCAGACCTAGAAAGTAACAAATGAACCTTCTGACCACACAGGATGGAGTCCAGCCAGGATGAAGCCTATCCTGGCCTTTATCCAGTAAAGCTCATCCCTTTCAACAAGGCTTACACTGATGATGGGCACATTTAGCTAAACACGGGCTGATATTCATTGCTCAGTATCACTTACAGAGTTAGCAGCACTCCTTCTGAACTATCCTAATCCTGGAACTTATTACTTATCCCAAAAGCAAGTTGTTTAATTCAGCTTCTTGGGTAAATCAGGTTTCCTCCTGTGAATTAAGGTTTATAAACTAATCCCTATTATTATCATTTATCAAAAGGAGCGTGTGAAAGGATGCTAATTTGAATGCAAGTATGGTTGCACTATCCTGTTTGTACATATTTCATTGTGAATATTTTACATTGTTCTATATGCAAGCCAATTCTAATGCAAACTATTTAATTTCCCCCAGGTAATGAGAAGGTAAAGGAGGTAATCAAGATGTAAATCTAGATTCTGCTCTTTTCCAGCTTGTACAAATGCAACATGAGTTAAAGTTTGATTTACCAACACAATAGGCATAGTTCTAAGGCAAATGGCTTCAGATGTCATTTCCTTCATCTCACTACCATACAAAATAATTTGGTTCTCTGGGCAGCTTTCTGTCTAATCCATGTCATAGATATCTAATGAGAGACACCATAACTTTCCTAGGAATGTCATTTCAGGGATTCTCTGCCTTTACAGCAAAATGCCTCTACCTAATACCTAGTCTGAATCCTCCTCCAGCACTTCCAATGCACTACAGCAGTTCAAGATTTTTACTTACTGCCCAGTTCACAAGAGACCACACATACTCAAAATTCTTCTGTTCTATCTCAATATTCCTTCCTAATAAGCTTAAGTTCTTCCATTTTTCATTGCAGATCACCTACGACATTTCTGATCATCATTTCTGCTCTTCTTTCAGTTGC